GAAAGCACGATGAATCGACCTAACACAATTTTCACTCTCTTCCACTACTTGCTTCATATTTCTTTATTCCGACTCAAACAAGTACTCTAACATCAGCTTATTTTTCTAAACATATGCATATATCGAATTCTTATATATGAAGGAGAATATTTTTTCTTTTGTGATTTTAAAAAAAATCACATAAAACACATAAATAAAACTATATATATATTGAGAAAAATACATGGGTTTGTAAAGTGTGGACCAGTATTGGGACAAGAGGAACATAAAGGTTAATGGATTAGTGAATAGATGGGACTTTATATGCTAAAACTTTCACCATGATTTTCAGTTTAACGCCTGTTTGACTCTGTCATTGCAATTTGGTGGATAAGAATTTGATTTTTGATGTTTCGACGTGGACCCAATAGGAAATTAACTTGTTTGGAAAAACTTAAAAAAATATTTAATTATTATTTATTTCTTATTTTGAAAATTTTAAATTCCAATGGCGCCATCTCCCTCTACTTTGCTCTTTGCACTTTGCATACACCTTGTATTTATATGAGCTTGGAGTATGGAAATTGTAGCTTGGAGACACATCCTTGTCAACATAAAAGCTAGGTACCAACTATAATTGTAAAATTCATGTAAGCAATTAATTAACCCCAATATCAAGATCATTAGAATTCATGATTTTCACGAATAAATTTAATTGATCAAGAAACATACCTTGATCCATAGCAATAATTGAAAATTTTAAACTTGCAAAAGAGCAACTAGTAAAATCAAGAAATTGTTCTCTCTTTTTACATCTCTATAATTGAATGTTTTAATTTGACAAATTTCATTCACGTTTATATGCCAAGAGAGACAGTTTCATTGGCCATAAAAGAAAACTACCCACTTTCCATCAAAGTGTACAGTTATTAAACTGCCACTTCTCAATGAAACAATATGATTTCAGCAATAATAAACCACTTCAATTAATTTATTAATAATATTACTTGGGCCACAGTAATTGGTCTTACATTGTCTCATTTTGTTCATGTAATATTACATCGTTATGTGGTTTATAATCTATTGTGCATACAAAAAGCTAAAAGCCCTCGTACATTGGTCACTTAATATATCATCCTTAAGTAAGGACTAATAAGAGTCATGACGGTTTTATACTATCATTTCGACATAATTCTTTTCATGTACTACAATATTAGTAACCACCTAACATGACACGTAATGAGAAGTTCGATAACTAACATTCAATAAAGTTCGATAACTGCAATTCAATAATATCTTTGAAAAGACTGTCCCTGTCAACATTCATATAATCCATTGATGTACATATACCTACTCTTATGACAGGAATAATATTTTGTCAAAAACAGTACATAAATGAGCTCAAAGTGTCAATTACATAAATCTCATAATGTCAACCATCATTTCCAATAATGTCAATTCTTTCGACATGTTTATTAAATGTATTTGATGGTAATCATTTCGTTATTGGATCTACAATCATAAGATTGGTGCTAATATACTCGATTTGTTTTTGAAGTTCTTTTTTAACGGCAAAGTATTACAATTTCATGTATTTAGCACCTTTAGAGTACTTGTCGTTCTTTGAAAAGAAGATTGCTGCAAAATTATCGCAATAAAGTTTCAAAGGCTTGGAAGCCGTTGACAATTCCAAGCCCTGAAATAAAGTTCCACAGCCAATTTCCTTGAATTGCAGCCTCAAAACATGCAAAAACTCAGCTTGCATCATGGATGCAACAATGTTTGACTGCTTCACATTTTTCCATGGTATACCCCTCCAGCCAAGATGAACGAATAACCAAATGTTGACTTTCTAGTATCCACACATCCAGCAAAGTCTGAATCCCAATATCCAATTACTTCCAAGTTATCAGATCTCCTATAAGTGAGCATGTGGTCTTTCGCTCATTGCAAGTATCTCAACACTTTCTTTGCAGCATCCACACATCCAGCAAAGTCTAAATTTGAATATCCAATGACCTCCAAGTTATAAGATCTCCTATAAGTGAGTATATGATCTTTCATTCCTTGCAAGTATCTTAACACTTTCTCTGTAACTTTCCAATGATCAAGTCCTGGGTTTCTTTGATACCTGCCCAACATTCCGACAGCAAAACTGATGTCTAAGTTGTGAATGTCTGAGCATACATAAAGCTCTCCACAAGAGATGCATAAGGAATATATGTCATTTGTTTATGTTCCAAGTCTCTTTAAGATATTGCATGAGACTAAATTTGTCTCATTTTTGTCATCTTAAATCTCTCTAAAATTTTATTAATGTATGCTTTCTGAGATAACCCTAACAATCTTTGTGACCTATATCAGAATATTTCAATTCCAATCACATGGGTTGTCTCTCCTATATCTTTAATTTACACACAATGTGTTCCTTTCCTTCAACTGAAAAACCTTTAGGCAAATCCATATTAACTTCTTCATCTAAATTTCCATTTAGAAATAATTATAATTCAGAATGAGTCTCTCTTGGAGACAGTATATATTGTTTAATTGAAACAATTAATTCAATTGCAAAATGAAATAACGAATCGCAATTCCAAACCCTATCTCACTCCTACCCTCTAGTCTCTGCCACTGACCCACTATATCTTCGTTGTGCTGTCAGTCACCTGCCCCTCTTCTTTTTCTTTTTGTGGTTTTTGTTCTTTTAGACTTTATTTTTTTTATTTATCATTTATAATTTTTGATTTATGTTATGACTGTGAAAGTGTGAGTTATGAATTATGATTTATGACTTATGAGTGTAAATTTATATACATGTATGATAATATCTCATAGTAGTAGAGTTAATTTACTTGTGTTTATACAAGGTTTTTATGACTTAGCAATGACGATGGTTTGTTGTCCATGTGTGTATGTTTGTTTTCTTGGGATTTTTATGTTGGAATATTTTTGTTTTTGTGCTTGTACGAATTTTAATTATTGAATGAGACTTTAAATGATTTGAGCATTTTAGGCTAAATTTTGAGTCTTTTTTGTTGTTCTTGTGCAATTTCTAATTTCTTTTCAAATTATGGTGGTAGACTAATAGTTATTGCTGAATTATGTGATTGAACGGGCTCTTATGTCTGTTTGAAGATTCCATTTTTATCCGATGACATCTTCTAAAGCTTTGTACCTTAGGAGCTATTTGTAGAAAAATAATAATTCAAAGCTTGGAGCTGTTTAGAGTTGTAAAAAACAATTTGGACTTTACCAGTGGTTTTTTGTTATATTATTTTCATAAACCAAAATGCACTTAACTTAATTGCACTCTGTAGTACGCTTCTTCATACGTTGTTCGTAGAAGAAAGATGACTAAATTTGTTTATTGGGTATTACGTAGAAGCACCTAGAAATTGCATCCAGTACTACTTTTTTTTTTGTTTTGTTGATTGAAAAGTATAAAATGAACGCCAACAGTCCACAGTCAACTACCGCCATAACTGACCAAGAATCCTGAATTAGCCACTTGCTTGGAGTATGAAAATTGGAGCTTGGAGACACATCCTTGTCAACTTAAAAGCTAGGTACCAAATACAATTGTAAAATTTATACCTAATATTTCTTGTTTGTCACGTTTCCTAAACTTTTTGGTAAAGTATATTGGATATGTGGAAGTTCATATGAGCTCGACTATGTTTGACTGTAACAAAAGGCTTATTTTTCGTGCTAATATACGTGTAAATTCATATAAATTAATAGTTAACGAACAATTTAACCATGGAAAATGTAAAACCAATTGAAAATTATTTTTTCCTATTAATATACAAGCATGGTCAAACGCATTCGGATGACTTTTCAACTGCGCGTTCGGACTGTGGAAATTCAAATTTTTTATACATATACAATAACACCCTTCAAAATGGACAAAAATTCACATGCTAAGATTCGGTCATTGCAAAGACTAATCCAATTACTTTTGTTTGACTATTCTTTGTCGAATTTGTTTACGGTTTAACCCCCAAACCTTTTCAAAGATTTTATTTTGTCTTATTAAATTTACGCCTATTTTTGTACATTTTACCTTCGAAAAATTGCATCGAATACTTTGGACATGTTATGGTAACGGATTTCGACTGAAATCAATTATAGTTGGAATTTATGGCCCGACGAATTGAAATGTTGAGCTCTACTGTGATGGATAGGAATGCAAATAGAGTTTGCGTAAAAAAATTGGACACCTTAATTACTATTTAGCTTTTCCACATCTTTCAGATACGCTCTTATTCGACACACATTCTTTTAAAATATATTTTTTCGAAATTTATTTTCAACCACATATTTTTTAATAAAATAATATTTTTTTATCATATCAATAACATTTCCTTACTTTTTTACCACATATTTTCCATTATATCGCTGTTTAAAATACAATTTTTTTTTCTCAATAATATCTAAGTGAGAATTGGTTATTTTTTTCGTTTTCATTCTTAAAAATTCATTTTTCTTCAAATTTATTTTTAATTATACATTCTTTCAATAAACATATTTTTTTTATGTAAACATAAAAACTATTCCTTTAATCAAACCTCCGAAAAAAGTGAATTATTATTTAGAAGGCCGGGTGATTAAAAAGTAAAAATAAAAATTACGATTCCATAAAACGTAAGGTACAAAATAATATTCTATTTTTACTTTACTATTATATTATAAGGGAGATGCTACAATTACCGGAGGGGTTGACAACCCCCCACAACCCCCCGATACAAACATCATTTCCCATATTATAAACAAGGAAAAGTCCGTCAAAGTACATCATCCAAAGCTTCGAATAGAATACTCAATAGAAACGTCAAACATTATGTACTAAACGTGTAAATTACAAGTTGAAGCCTTCTGCAAATTGTGTGCAATATGAAGGGCTCTTTAGTCAACAAATTCAATATATACAAGTAATTAAAGCTTAAACGCCAAGAAATTAATTTCTTAAAATCTACACACGACCCTAACGTCTTTCCTCCCCTGAAGCCAGCCACCCATTTATGGAACCTGAGCCTGAGATTGTTATAAACCTCTTTGATTCAATCTGGTTCTACTCCCAAATCCTCAAGAAAAAATCAAATTCCTCAATTTCACCAAACCCTGTTTGGCATAATCAAGAAAATTCAAGAAAACCCAAGATTTCACGCCAATTAACAATCCATTCTAGATCCAAAAGTGAGCAACTGATTAACTCCATGACGGATTTGGACTCTGATACTTCGTCCCCAAATTCAGTCCTCTTTACCCCACGTCTCTCAGAACAAGATTTTCCGAAAGAAATTCCAAGTGCAACGCAAGTAGTGAATTTGAAGAATAGTGGCGGTTTGATGGATAGAAGAAAGAAAAGTCTCAGCAAGAGCTTGTCGGAGCTTGAATTTGAAGAAGTAAAAGGTTTTATAGATCTTGGTTTTGTGTTCTCTGAAGAAGATAAAGATTCAAGCCTGGTGGAAATCATTCCCGGGTTGCAAAGACTGGGCAAGAAAATGGATGGAAGAGGGCAGGAAGGGGAAGGAAACGCCAATGAATTTTCAGTTCCAAGGCCCTATCTTTCGGAAGCGTGGGATGTTTTTGAAGAAAGAGAGAGAGAGAATCAGAGCCCACTGAGGAACTGGAAAGTACCTGTAATCAGCAATCAAATTGAAATGAAAGATAGTCTCAAATTGTGGGCTCATACTGTTGCATATGCTGTTAGATGATTACTGTCTATTGATTCATCATTTGGCGTTTCTTAAATTCTTTTTCCTTTTCCTTCGGTTTGTAGATAAATTTCTGACTTTGTGTATTTTGTATATTGGAATAAAAATTCTTGACGGATTCTTTACACAAATTTCTTGAAAAGAGTTATATGATACCCATTTTTGCCATTAAATTTCAATTTGAAATTTTGTGTGTTGTCTGCGGATTTGATTTTCTGTTGCGAAGATATGTGTTTTTGATATATTGTTTACAATGGATATGGGGAATAACAATCCCGTTTCATATTTGCATTTTAAGCAATGTTCATTTCTGCCTTCCTTTTTTCTCCTTCCATTTTATTTTCCAACTATACATATCCAGTCCAAAGTCAGATAGAGGAGAGGAGCCAAGGAGCTAAAGATTAGATAGACTGGGCAGCTAGCAGTTCCCTCATGAGCATAAACATTGTATTTTCTGTGCTGTTACTGAAAATCTAACTCAGAGCTTCATAATTTTTCACATTTTATTTTATTTTTTGGTTGAAAAAAAGCTGAACTGCTATTCATCTGAACTTCTTATTCCAAGTCTAGTATTTTTAATTTCATTTAATCTTTTTTTGTTTTGGCATCTATAAAGTCAACTAGTAGGAATTCATCAATTGCTGCTACATAGGGAGGTGGCTCCACTTTATGAAATGAGTTTTTCCTTCTTTTTTTTTTTTTTTCACAAGAAAAAGAACCTTCTTTCTAGCCATGAAGTGAATAAAAGCACTTGATTTTGTTTTTCTCTGAATCATAGAAAGCTGAACCTGGTGGATTACTCGGTGGGTGGACATACTGCTGGAATATCCTGCACACAAGTGATCTAATTCTAACGTTTTTTGGGTTAATGAATCAAATTATTGCTGGCATTGTAATACTTCAGTTAGGGCATTTCATTTTCTGGTGAGAGAGAAAAGTCTCACTTTAAATGGTAGTGTTAAATCAATACGAGGTTTGGATAAAATTGTTGCATAGGCCCTCAAGATATTTCCTGAGTAGCAAGTTGGTCAGAACTTTGAGAAAGGGACAAGCTGGTCCCTAATCTTATAGTTGTTTAATCAGTTTCCACTTCCCTACAACAGAAGGCTTTCAAATCTCCATAAAATTGTCATGGGGCGCTCGTGGAAGCATGTCTAACTAAAAATTTTTGGGCACTAACCCATGTTCAGATGCAAAATCTAGCTTTAAAAATGTTGGAACCTATGATCTACCGACACAGACACGTGTGTCCGACACGCGATTTTTAAAATAAGTACAGACACGACACATCATCGATACGTTGATTAAATTTTTAAAAATTCTTCATTTATATAGTATAAATTTAGTTTTATGCTTAGTATTAATTTTTCTTGTTAAAATCTTTTAAACATGAGTACTTATTTGTTATTTGCTAATAATTTTGAATTAACAATATATAATATTTCTAATATAAAAAGAAAAATGATTACGGTAGAGTGTCCGAGAAGTGTCGGTATCGACTCGTGTCCGACACGTGTCGGACACGGACATAGACACGCTACCATAATTGAAGTGTCCGTGCTACAAATAATTAGAAGTTGAGTGAATGAATAATTAAGTGAATTTAAGAGAAACGCGTAACGTATAAGGAGAAAGAGGAGAGAGGATATGGAAAAAACTGTGAACCACTTTATTTGAATTACTATTATTTCTCTCTCTACTCACCGGCTGCTTGGTATATGGCCGTCGGATTTGTTATTATTACAAGGACAAGGATTTTAGTAAGTTTTAACTGCTGTCCTAAAACCGCCAACGAGGATACGGATAATTGTATAAATGGTCACTCAACTTTACACTAAATGTTTCTTTGATCACCCAACTTTAAATATTTTTTTCACCACCCAACTTTAAATTTTTTTTTCACCCATTAGTCTGGTGTACATTTTTAAAGTTTCATTTTTGTTTTACTTGCATCACTGAATTTAAAAACAGTTTCAGTAAACACTTAAAAGTACATAGTGTCAAAGCCGCGTAGATAAATCTATTGAAAAGGTGAACATACATAACTTTTTATACACATATTTTTGTGAAATTTATAAGTAATATTTACTTATTCACTACTCATTTTTAGTCGTTTAAAAACAGCTTGTCAAACATATGCTAATTGAAATAATTTAGGCAATATGGGATTAGAGGCACCGCATTCATATCCAAGCACGAAGAAGTATACCGCATGCTTTTTTGGATATGCTCATGGAGAACATAATGAAGTTATGAATTCCCGAACTTTAGATATAATAATAAATTTGAAATATTTACTTCAAGTAGTAAGTCTAAAAGTGATCATGAACTATGGAGATACTACACTTGGTGTATAATGCCGGTAGGTATGGCCATGATAAATAAAGTATATTTTATTTAATTATTATATTGAACTAAAGTTCTGAAAAGGAATAAGCTAATTTTTTGCCCTTTTAGTCGGTTAAAGCTACTTTTTACTAAAAAAAATTGTCAAACTCCATTTTTAATCAAATATTTCCTTCAACCCCACAACTTTTTAACCACAGAATTTACCGGCCTACAAATTTTTATCAATTTTATTTGTTAACATTCTACATCGAAGAGGGACTTCATTTGTATGGATCTGATTACATGTGGTGTTTTACGGTGTGACAAAAATAGTAATTCTCAGAAGAGATATTCAAGTTCTGCCTTGTCCAATATTGGATGAAGGTAGTTTCTAATTTTCAATAGGTTCATTTTTAGTTTGATTTAGAAACAAAAGTATAAAAATTTTCTATTAGAATGTCTAAATCCTCAATTCTACTACTTTCTTGACAATTAGTTCAACAAGAAAACAATGTTAGCTTTAGATATTCCAATAAATTTTGTTCGATACTAAACTTATACCGTGTGGAGTCAGTGTGACCCAATACAACTTGGTACATTTTGTTCAAATCCTTTATAACTTATATTGACACACAATGTTTTCCCGCAACTTTTCACGTATTATATTCATGTCTCAAACCTTCAAAAGTGAAGTTTTGAGTTCTCAACCTATTCAAATCGTTCAATTTGGATTTTCTAGTGACTCAAACCATTAATGAAAGTACATATAACTTTCACACGTCTCACGGCTAAAGCCTAAAGGCAAAATTATCAAATTACTTTACATTTATCTCTAATTCAACTTGCGGAATGCAATTTTAAGGTATAAATTGATGATTTTCTTTGCTCGAGGACGCAAATTTATATATTTAAATAACCCGGATACCAAAATCCTTATTTTTGAAGGTTGGGAACTCAAAACTACATTATATAAAGGTTTGAGGGGCTCAACTCTAATTTACCCATTTTTCCTTATCAAGCGTATAACAAGTATTCTTGGCCTACAATTCACAAAAGATCATTTTCTTTGACGAAATTGTGAATCGTATCGAAGGATGGTGTTCTTTAAAATTTTATCAGAAAATTATAGTCTACGTGTTTCAACTGAACACGATCATATACTCAACCTAAATTCTTTTGTGCACTTTATACTTCTAGATCATATAAAACTTGCGTTGTAAAAAAAAAAAAAAAAGGAAATATGAAACGTGAGCTTGTGTGATTTCCAAGAGGCACAATTTCTTTTGAAGGGAATGTGCACTGTATCGATTGAAGAGGATGGATAACGTGGGACACCCAAAGCAATTGAGTTGTGCGATGTACATCACGTGTACTTGGCATGAATCAAGTTTCTACTACCCATCCCCACAAGTTCTAAAAATTATTAATTATGCTAAATGAAAAATATTGCATAACATTCCACGAAATATTAATAAAGTTTTGACATTTTTTGCATAATATTGGGATACTTTGAAACACGTTTGGATTATGAGTTTTTGGATTAAGGGGTCGTCTGGAGATCTCATTATCGATCATTACTGTAAAACATGCTTTCATGTTTTTAACCGAATTTTAAATTGTAAAACTTACTTGAAAATCTTAAAACGAGATTGAATCACTTGCCTTTTGATTATTTGCTTTCCACACCATCTTTTGCCACTCCTTAGTCAAAAACTCGATCACAAAATGAAAGAATTTGATAGCCCACAATCCAAGAACCCAATTTGAATATTGTATTTCCATAAATCAAGCCTCCACTTTCATCTACTTTTTACTCTTTGAAGGAACCCGAATTTTTGCACAAATAGATTGTTTGTTATAAAATGGAAGTTATATTTATGGTTGAGGGTGATGGGATGTTAAATTTTAAAATCAAAATTTAACTCATCTCTCCAAAAAATCATCCTATACAAATCGGGTCGAGTCAATCCACATGGACGATCCGTTTTCTTCCGACAATTACAATAGAAATAAGGTCATTATATTTCATTAATACCACAAGTCTATAGTTTATATTTTTGGCTAAAATATTGCACTATGAAAATGAGAGTTACAAATTATGACCAAATTAACTCATTTCTACCTTAAAAAACCCATGGACGACCCATTCTCCATTTTGCAAACAAATTTCATTTTTCTTGTTCTTTTCACAAATTTAAAAACACTTTCTCAAATCCTTGTTCAAGAAAGTTTAGGAAAAATAAAAGAACTTATATTTTGCAAACAAGATTTCATTTTCTTCAAGTTTAAATATAACTTTTTAAAGTTTGAAGATTGCACTTCATGTTTTCAACATGTTACAAGTTAAGCAATTAACTAAAGTGAAGGTAAGACACAATTCCCAGCTTAAATTGTAATCCTTGTTTCAATGTTAAAGTATCGAGTTATGTTGATGATCCAAAAATTGAAATTGAGATTGAATCCAGAGCGGTTTCTTTCGATTTCTTGCTGAATTTGGTTCGAGGCTCGTTTTGCCCTTATTTTGCCTTCCAAACATCCTTCTTGACGTCTCTCATTGTGCATCATAATCCCCTCTTTTAGTTAACAAATTGTCCTCGTGTAACCTCACTTCAATCAACTAAAAATGATAAAAATAACGAAAAAAATATAGAAAACAATGAAGTAAATAACAA